CCTACAGCAAAACAAAACAAAAAGAAAAAAACAACAACAAAAAGATTTCAAACACTTCCTGACACCGAGGAAGTAACCCGTAAATAGTATTAATGATGTGTATCCCTTCAGGAGTACTGAATTCTCAGAAGTTAGCAAGTGATTACTGAATACACAGAGTTCCAGCTGAGGCTTCACCAAAGCTCGAGCATGCCAAGAGAGGAGAAATGGACTTCCAAATTCCTGAAATCACCACCTCCAATGTGTGGCTCGCTCCAAGACCCTCCCTGCGAGGTGTCAGCTGCTATGGCCGTCAGAGTCCACCTTAACAGCTTCCACACTGGAGGAAAAGCATCTCCACTGGCTCTGCCCAGGACCCAGAACTGGGGCTCTTTAGTCACACTTTGGAAGTGCTGGCACCTACTGCTAGTTCTCCCCCCAAGAATCACTCGACTGGCAACGTCCTCCCTGCTTTGTCTTATTTCTAGAAGCAGCTGAGCCTGTGTTTAGACAATCTGGCACTGAAAGAAACCCATCCTCTCTCTTGCACAAGAGTGCCTGAAGGGGTGTTCAGGACCTTAAAGGGCCAGATGAGCTGGGGCAGTCAAATTTCAATCCAGCTGCTCAACGTATGCTGCCAATCTTGACAGAATCATTTCGACATGCAACCAGTTTTATCCTCCTCATAGCTGATGATATAATTCCACTTTGGAGAACATATCCAAGGAAGTCAGTGCGCCGCTTTGGTCTTCCTTTTACCAATGTAATCTGCAGGGATTCACTGCAGGCCATGGGGCCATTAACAAAACACTGACAAGCAAGCTACGTATCTGTGTATCTGTCGGCCACTGAATAAGCACTGACTGTCAGAGATAAGATGCTGGGGGCTTCTATACATATCACCTTATCGAAACTTCTTTGTAAGAGTAATTTCCAGGAGCTCAGGAAGGTTCAGGCTCCCTCAGAAAGCTGGTATTTAAGCTGGTGTAATGGTAGGTGGCAGCAGGCCCACCACCTACTCGATAAGTGACCTCTCTGGGCTGCGGTTTTATCATCTGGAAAATGGGGCAATCATACAGCACCCAAATCAAAAGGTGGTCATGAAGATAACAAGAGTTATCACATCCCAAGTGTTGGGAGTAGTTCCCGACACCGAGTAATAAATGTGACCTCCTCCTGCCGTAAGCCACAGGCTCCAGTCACATCGACTGCTTCTTCCCCAACAAGCCATGTTCTCTCACACCTCTTCCTTTTTTCACATTTTTTTAAGCATTCAGTTTTATTTATTTCATCTAATTGCCACAGGGCCTGTGCACGCCCTATGGCCAGAAAGGGAGAGGGACAGAGCAGCCCACAGTGGGGAATGGTCTCGCCACAAGCCCTCGTCCTCCATTTCTCCATCCTGCGGGGACTCTGGGCATACAAGCCCAAGTGCCCAGCGTGTTTTCCAAGCTGCTGGGGATAATATTTAAAATATGTATCAGCCGTGTGGAACCTGGATCCCATAACCATCAGGCCATGGGGTCATTTCTCACACAGATTGTTTTATTATTTTTTTTTTTTGAGAGGTTTTTGCTATAGGGCGTGTACGCTTGCCAGAAAGACAGAGACAGAAAGCGAGAAATCGTCCCCCGGGGGGGATGGCCACACCACAATCCCTTCTCCTCCATTCTCCTCTCGGGATCCTGGGCATGCACACACATGCGCCCGGCATGAATTTAAGCCACCGGGTCCGGGACTCGAACTGTGGTCTACTACATGGGAGTCCAACGACATAGCCATTACACCAACTGTTGGTACCCACACATGTTGTTTTTAAGTCTACACAGCCTCATTTTGCCTATATATGTCTATTAATGTGAAGGTCCTTGGAGCCGAAATTCTATCTTCAGTTCTTTAGGGCACAGGATGCTTATTTACTTGATAAATGTTAAACCAGGAACATTACCTAAATTTCATCTTTTTTTGTTTTTCTTTGAGAGAGAGAAAGAGGGCTTCCCCAACATGAGTTGGTGCTGTGGTCCGCCCCCAGCCTCAGTCAGCCCCAGATGACGAGCACACGCCTGCCCCGGGCACTCAGGGAGATCTCAACACGGACCCAGCAACTCCTACAGCCTCGGCCTCACGGAGTACCCTTGGACTGCCGTGCCAACACGTGCTCCACAACCAATCATGTTACTAGCTGGGGCTTACCTGCAAAGTGCAAGGAGACCCATCAAAGTGCACTAGGCTTTCTTTCTGTTTACTTCAATGCTGACTTTGAAGACTTACTGAAAGGTTAGCAAGCTCTCCTCTCCGGTTTGGTTTGCAGACTCTCTTTCCCACCTACGCCTTTCTCACACCTCATCTGCAATAACGCGGCCATGAATACTGACCCTGGGGCAGGCAAAGTAGTCCTTAAATCCTATATGACACCTAAGAGGCTATTACTCCACTAGTAATACTGACAGAGCTAGCCCCTGCCACTAATTACCAGCAAGGACTTGCCCAATCATGTGGGGAGACACTTCTCTTTTTCTTCTTTTTAGAGAGAGATTTCTGCTATAGGGAACATGCACTTGCCAGAGAGAGAGACAGAAAGCGAGAAATCACCCTCAAGCGGGGATGGCCAGGCCACAATCCCTTCTCCTCCATTCTCCTCTTGGGATTTTGGGTACGCACACGCATGCACCCGGGGTGAGTTTCAAACCACTGGGTTCAGGACTTGAACCACAGTTGACTAAATGGAAGTTTAGCAACATAACCATTACACCACCTGCTGGTCCTAAGAGACAATTTTCTTTGTCCCTTGCCTCCTGTTCCCCTCCAGAAGAAACACTGCAAAACAAGTAAGGGACCACGTATGAGGGGACTTCAAACAGTTCATGAAAGTGGATTTTTGGTACAAAATAATTTTTAAATCTATGCATGGCTTTTTCCTAATAAGTATTTCCATGAACTTAAAAATATTTTCTCCTTCTATTCCTGACAGAGTATATATACACACATGCATGTATGCGTGTATGTGGATAGAGAGAGAACGAGAAAGAAGTACCCTGCACAGGGTCTTGTCCCACACTATGCTCTCAATCCTCCTGCCCTCAGATCATGGGCACTAATGTGTGTGCCCGGAGTGTTACAGGCTGACCAGGCTGGGGGTTCAGAACCCAGTTCGCACATGGGCTCCAGTTACTCCTGAGAAGCACATTACAGCTACACCACAGAGCCGGCATCCCCACAAACTCTTTGAAGACCCCCTCACATAATGTCTGAACTAGCAGCGTGGAAAATGTCCAAGTTATAAATCAAAGAATGACTGGCGGGTAGGGAATTGTGGAGCATTCCAAGGGCTTGGGAGATGTGGGTGGCTTGCTGAAGGGGTAAAATCCTATCAGTTCAAGGATACTGAGCTCTCACAGGCTGAGGAAAGGCAGGAGGAAAAGCTGTCTTTCAACACCTTGCCTAGGGCAAGTCTCTGGGGCAAGACCTACCTGCAAGGCTTCGATCCTTTCTACCCTGGCATCTAGCCTAGTTCCAACAAAAATCGGCTAAAGATCAGCAGTTTTTGAATGATAACATAAGAAAGTATGCAATTAACTTTTTTTTTTTTTTTTTTAGTTTTTTGTCATACAGCATGTACACTTGCCAGAGAGGGAAAGTGAGAAATCATCCCCAAGGGGAATGGCTAAGCCACAGTCCCTTTTCCTCTATTCTCCTCTCGGGATTTCGGGCACACACACACGCTGTCCAGTGTGATTTTCTTTTTTTCCTTTTCCTGAGAATTATTTATTGAATTTTATTATTATCATTTTTATATTCAACCAAAGAGAGAGAGAGAAAGTGAGAAAGCAAGCAAGTCAGCGGCCATGTGGATGTCCAGTCCAGTGTGATTTTCAAACTACCAGGTCTGGGACTCAAATCGACCTCAGTCATGTGGGAGTCCAGTGTCCAGTACCTTCTTTAG